ATACAGTATAATCCCCACTGATAAGGGTAGGAAATTACAAAAAGAATCAAAGCCGCTAGGGGATAAACTCGTCCGTAGCCATGCCGGCACGAAAACGAATCCGTCCAGAACCTAAAGCCTAATATTTGTATTGCCCACACATTCAATACAAATAATAGATCACGTATAGAAGTAATCTTAATAATGACGATTGAGGAGTTTATGTTCATTAAATACACATGACTGTCCAACATGGACAATATGGTTAATGATGAATAACCACTAATTTCTTTACGCTTAAATAAGTAAGCCACATTTAGGATTAGACCGATAAAATGTGTGATAACCTTTATCAAATTATATTACCGGTAAATAAATTATCCGCTAGTATACATGTTAACGGTCTAACATTAAATTAACCGATATATCAATTTTTTACAATTAGTATTATGGTTTAGGGTTTATAGCTTTGATATTTGTTAGCGGAAAAAGGAGAAAATATGATCAGCTATAATATTTGTTAGCTGTAAAAGATATTGTTATCCGTGGTATGTGTGTTATGTGTGAACACATGATCATGTCATATACAATAAGGTAGTCACACATCCACTTCAAAAACGTTTATCCATATAAATATTAAACGTATAAGAAAATAGTTAGCGACTAATGAAAAACATATATGTATGAAACAAATAGATATGTCTACCATTATCTTCGTTAACATATACATGCAGATAACAATATATTCGTTCCATTCATGTTACACAAAACGTTAGAGATAAAAAAAAAAGTTTGTATGACCAGTCTACTCAAATTTAACTCACTGAGTTAACTTATGCCATATACAACACTGAGTCAAAGCAACTTCAGCAAAGAGGCAAACATGGAGACACTTTGACAAGGATTTTTTTTTGTGAACAATAATTATCGATTTCTCTTCTCTTCTGCTTTCTTCGCACATGAGAGAAAGATTTAAGAGTAAAATCGATATTTTCTATGCTGTCATCTACAAAAGTTAGAGGGTTATGTCACATCATGGTTAGATTACTAATTTCTAAACAATCTATGTATATTGAGCTAATTAACTCTAAAAAAAATTGAATTTTAATTTCTATTCCTGTATTAAAATATTTTTAACACATATTTTACTTAACTTTAAAAAGTAAATAGTTAAGAGTTTGAGAAAAAAAAAATAATGTTTTTAAATTTTTTAAAAAAATATAAATTTTTACTATTAGATTCTTTCTTTTTTGTTGAAAATTTACTAGAAATATTAAATTTGGAAATTGGGCTCAATAACTATAAAAATAATTATAACCCACTAAATAACAAATTCTCCTCAATCCAATGGTCACAATATTACCACACATACCATTTTTGTTAGATTTTGAATTATGTTTTTTTTTTTTGGGTTATTCACCAAATTGACCGTATTAAATTCTTCAAATGGAATTCTGGATTATCGAGACAAAAAACCTGTTTTCCTGTTCTTCAACCATACAAGATTCTCCAGCTTTCTTCTGAAATGCTTCATGGGAGCATTCATCTGGAAAACTGATCTACTCTCGAGTTCTTTCTGAGTAAATCCAAGCCATTTCTCTTTGATACCAAAATAGAGTTACTGACACCACAAGAGAAAACGAACCAGAGATAGATATATAGATAGGTCCTGTGCTGACTCTGTGATCTAAGCTGCGGCTTTTAGTTTCATGTTCCTAATCGACGAGATTTAGAAATATACAAAACCGGGGTGGGTCAGTGCTCTCAATATAAGGTGCGGCGGTTGAATGATTCCATTGTTAGATTGGCTGTAAAAGCTGGAATCGAGTTAAACTTCCTGATGAATATTTCTACCTGCAAGGACCACACAGATAATGAAATTGTAAACTTCACTAACAAAACATTGCTTTTACTAAGGAAAAATAGGCCTCCATTTTACCTGTTTCGCTATCTCACCCTGAGAGGCGTACTGATTGTCCTGGGGGAATTAAATCAGTATCTGTTAATAAATCCAGATAAAAAGTTTAAAATGCTACATGTGAAAGTTATAAGTTGCAAGAATCACTTACTAGAATACTAGTATTTCCAGATTCGTATTCAAACTCGAGTTTTTCATCATCACTTTGAGCATATATAGACTGAAGAGTAAACCGAGTAATTGGGATTCCGTTGGGACGCTGATGTTCGTCCATTACAATCTGTTTTCAACGGGAATTAATAAGATAACAAGCTCTGTAGGAGAACAAGAATTTATGATCATTGATGTGCATGAATCATAAAAGGTAACACAATTAAGGACAGCAAAAGCTGAACCTTCTTTACTTTATGAAGTCACCAAGTATGAACATGCATTTGAGAATTTGGTAGTCATTGCCTTCAGGAAACCATTGTAATGCTCAGCAAACTAAGACATTTGAGTGCCATGAAATGTACATGAGCAAGTGGAATACCTTATAACCGAAAAGCTCGCAACAAGCCCTCCTAAACACTGATATTCTATCAGCGAAAACAGTTTTGTACCTGTATCATAGGCTCCACATGCTTTAATATGGGGAAGCAAGCTCATAACCGCACAAAGTATGTGTTAAACTTTTTATCAACAACATACCTCTCCTCACGCTTTTCAAGTGTAGCAATTTGCTCTTTTAGTTGAGAAATCTTTCCAGTTATATGGGAGTCAACTAGCTTCCCAGGATCTCCTGAATATTCATGAAAATAAATTGTCAGAAAAGCTTACTATGTAAATTACAATAGCAATTCTGAAACACTAAAATATTTCTCCTCAAGTCTTCCTCAAGACTTTTTGGCCTCCCTTTTATTCGCGAGAATATAATGCAAAAAATATAGTGTCAGAGAGAAATTAAGGCATGCTTCTCCCGCTTGAAGTATATTTTGTGGTGAGAGTGAAATCAAATGGTACACTTGTGGCAAACCTAAATCCTAATGTCAAAAACAGGAAAAGGTCGACAACCAGAAATTTACCAGACTGACTCTTCAACTCTTCAACAGCTAGGAGTCTTTCTCTTGTCTTCTGTAACTCAGCCTGTAAAGCCTCTATAGTTTGTTTTGCTTCATTTTCGACACCAAGAGTATTCACCATGCGTAAAACCTTTGTATTTGCAGCAGAAAAATCACCATGACCCAGCTGCAAATAAAAAGGATACCAAATTAATGTTGCTATTCCGACCAAACTCTAGGGTAGAAGTTAGAGGTTCTAAGTAGCATTCATGAGAAACCTATGACAAACAAAAGATGCAGTGAATTTTCACCATTCACCCTTAAATGCTCTTGAAATTCATTTGGACCATGGCAGGTACCAGTTCTAAGAGTTAATCAAAGAAAGAATCCTTGTCCAATTTTCTGTGGAAAGTGCCATGAGTTAATCTTCAACAGTTTACTACAACTAAGTATATTGCGTAAATTTGCAAGCATGCATATCTGGCATATGTACCTTCGACTCCAGCAAAGAGATCTCAGAACGAAGGCGATCACTATCCCTTTCCAGCGACTTAATTTTCCTTGCTTCATTAACTAGTTTCTCATTTAGAAGTTCTATTTCATTCCGTTGACGATTATTGACATCCTTCAGTTGACTTAGATCATTCTCCAAATCCTTAAGATAGTTCTCTTTTTTTGCAAGAGAAGATTGAAGCCCCTGTACATAAAAACAAACTAAGAAATATGCTGCAAACTAAAGAATGAAAAATCTTTAAAAGTAAGGACTGATATTCTACAACCTGAACAAGGGCTCCATCTGTAGCTCCAGACATGAATCCTCCACTGTTTGACTTCCTGAATTCACTAAGAACAGCTTTTAACTGTTCCCTCTCCTCTGTGACCAAAGAAAGCTGTCATTACAAAATTATAGCTTTGTTAGCAAGAGTGCGATAATAAATGTTTGTATCCAAGCATACTGATTCCTGGAGAAACCAAGTAAACAATCAACACACTAGGATATTGAATATAAAATGATTAACACTAGAATGCTATCCTATAGCCCTCGAGAATCAAAAATCAATAGATGCCAGCGAAAGATGAAATGCACTCACGACCCTTTACACAGCAAAATCAACTAAATTCAATCTTACCATTACTTCAATTCTTTTGACATCTGATTTGAGTGCCTCAGATTTCTCTTTAGCTAATGCAGCCTCAGTTTCAGCATTCTGCCTGCCAAGTTGTGTAGCATCCAGAGCCACCTCCAGTTGTTTAGAACGTGTACTTGCTTCTCCAATCTTTACAGTGCTATCCAGCACCTCCCTTCAAACATACAGAAACACAAGTCAATAGAGAGTATCACAGATACATGTGTTACCTCAGAGAATTTGGTAAATTAGAATTCAGTACTCTCTCCTCCCAACTAATTCCAAACGTTAGTCTAGATGCTCTAAGGCCCACACTTGACCTGCTAGACTTACACTAACAAGCCAGAATAACAACCACCTCAATCTTCCACACATACTTCTTTTATGGCAGGCATAGTTATTTAAAACAATATCAGAAAAAGACTAGTGATAAGTTAAAATCTGTTATGACCATCTTGCCATACTTTTGCAGCGTTGAGAATTTCATAAATATGTCATCAGGGCATGCTACACCAGGAATGTCATTTAGCAATGACTTCCAAGATGACAATTCATTCTCCAGCTTGTCCATGCTTAGCTGCAATTGTTGCAATTTTGATAACTCTGATTCTGCCCTCTCCCTACGGCTTTTTTCTTCCAATAATTTCTCTTTCAACAACTCAGCATCAAAGTTTTGTGATTTAAACTTTCTAGCTTCTCGCACTTCAGCTTCCTGATACAATTATAAAGAATCAATAATGTCAAGAAATACATAAACTAGAAAGACATTTCAAGGAAAGTCTAGAAGTCGAAAATATAATCTACAAGTAGAACATGTATATCTTACCATATGAGATCCATGCAAGTAGAGTTTACAATCAATACTAGAAATGGACATGCAGAAGTTGTGTCCTCTGACAAGTAAGTCATTTTTCAGTACCTCAAAGTGTAGCAAAGTAAACTTTTGACTTCAGATTTTTCTAAGAAAACCTAAGCAAATAAGAAGACCATCTTCTGTTTAATTTGGACATGTGTTTTGTGTAAACTTGAGAGTTGGGAAACTCAGCAGAGTGAAACTCGTTAGATGTCCTTATGACTGGAAGGGCTCAAATAGAGTCAGCAGCAGAAAAATAGAGATCATTGTGGAAGTGTCTGGAGTTTGGGTTACGTTGTGTAGTTCTTTCATGTTAACAAGAACGAGTAATGAATAAGAAAGACAGTTTTGATCAATGTTCTTCCACATTCATACTTTTCAATAAATGACGCATCTTACGCTGGAACAACTTCGTAAAATTATAAACAGACAACTTAAGAACTGGTCACACTTACATAGCGCTTAAGTTCCTCCTGGAGATGTTTAACCAATACACTGTTATCTGAAGGAGATGCTTGAGATGTGAATGACGCCAGCTTCATGGCTAGTTCAGTTTTCTCTTGCAAACACTGCAAATAAAAACTCAAATGAGGCAGCGAGAAATCTATGAAAACAATTGATAACTTATCACTTGTGTTATTTTATTTTAGATGCAAGTCGATATATCTTACCTCGTCAAATTTATGTTTAAGATGCTCCAGCTGTGATCTTAAAAGGCCTGATTCCGTCTCTGCATTTTGTGCTCGACATTGCATCCTTTCAAGCTAAAAGGAAAGGAAAACAGATTCCACTTCAGTGATTGCATGAGAAAAAGAAAAACTTGAGCCAAGATATCAAGTTTCCTAACTGCTACTTACATCTGCACCAATTCTAGATACAGAAAGCTTTGCTTCTTTACCCAAGTGAGCAATATCACTGTTGAGACGTTTTTTCTCCCTGTCCACACTTGCAGATAGCTGACTTAGTTTTTCTTCGAAAAGTTTAGCTTTTTCTTCTGCTGTAGCAAGAGAAGACTCGGCTTTCTTTCGGAGGTTCATTTCATTTTGAAGGTTTACCTGGTGTGAAAGAAGAAGAAAGGTAAGGGATTCAGTTGATGATAACGACAAGAACTAAAGCTAGTAACGCGCGCACATAGACAGATCAAACCTCGAGTGTATGAGAAGATTGTAGCTGTTTGGTAAACCGGTCTTGAGAATTGGTGATCTCCACTAGGAGCTGCTCCTGAAGCACCTTTTCACGCCCTTTGGCAGCAGCCAGTTCTTGCTCTGAGTACAAGAATTTATCTCGAAATTGCTTTCTTTCGGCGTCTGTTGCACAATAAGAAGCCAAATCCGTTAGCAGAATAACAGAGAAAGGCTTGGGAACGACGTCGAATTGAAACCCCCACCTGCTTGGGTGAACTTATCATTTAGAGTCTGTAACTTGGTCTGAGATTCCCGGGCTTGTCTCTCTGCTTTGCTCAAGGCATCTAGAACATCAGCTTTGACCTACGAGAAAGAGAAACCCCAAGAAATTTTTAGTTTCCTAACAAAGCAACACCAGTTTATGTACAGTGATGATTGAAATTAAGGGAGCAAGGTAAGGACCATTTGGCGGCATTGATAGGTGCAAAGGTACTGATCCGAATGATCATGACAAGTTTGAAGCGGAGAATCTTCGTAGGTAACGAGAGGGTTGCCGGCGGTGGCGGGGCTGCCTCCGTCGTCGGAACGCTGCTTCTTCGGCGGCGGAGTCCTCACTATCATGATTGCCTACAACAATTAGGGTTACGGAAGCCAGAGAAGAAGAAGAACAATTAGGGTTAGGGAATCTCTCAGATTTGAAAACCCAAAGGCGCCACTTTCCCTTGACCTCCAAAACCAAACCAATTTGATGATGAGAGGCGTAAAGACGAGCAGCCAGACGGTCGAGGTGTACGCAAACCCAACTTTTTTTTTTTTTTTTAATGGCTTTCCAATTATAATTTTAAACTTTTTTTTTAAAAAAAAGGAACCATTACAAAAATATCAATTTTTAAAATTAAAATCTTAAAATTCTAAACTCTAAATTTTATTTTGACCATCAACAAACTCTAAACCCTTAAAACTAAATCCTAATACAATATAGTTAACCCAAATATAAATAATATAATGAATAAATAATTTTTAAAAAATGGCATTTTTGCAAAAAAAATTTTAAAAAAATCCGGTAATTTAATTAATTCTCTTTTTACTTTAGTTAAAGAGTCGGTCACTCACTATCAAGATTTATGTTCACAAAACGTTAGAGTTAGGGGTGGGCAAAAAAAACCAAATCTGAATTCGAATTCGACCTGAATAGAGCTTAAAGGCTAGGTACTTTGGGTATCGGATAATATCCGATCCGAAACAAAATCCGAACTAGTACACGAAAAATCAGAATTTAACTAAATACATTAACCATTTTTTTCCTAATTTCAGGTAATTTGGGTATTTTTCAAGTACTTTTGGAAAATTTGGGTATTTTTTGAATATTTTTGGAAAATTTGGGTAGTTTTTATATCGAATTTTCCTGTTAATTCGAATACGTTCAAGTATTTTCGGATATTTTTGGATAATTTGTGTAATTTTTTATCATGGTTTCGGATAATTCAGATACCTTTAATTTTTTTTTCCAACAAAATTATGTTTTATTATGATGAATAAGAGAGTATATAATCGTTACACAACATCAATAAGCCATAAAGGAGGATGAAATCTGTTTGAGTAAAAACATTGCTTAAAAGACCATTTTTTGTAGGGCAATGAGCAAATTTATTTGCGCTACGGTTGACTAAAAAAACTAATGGAAACGTAGTGATGAAATCCGGTTTTAACATCCAAACAAAGATTTTGGATGACGAAAGTTGTAGCTTATCCGGTAAGTGATTTAAAAAGATGAAAACAATCAGTTTCAAAAATCACATATTGATAGCCATGAAAGTAACACTCTGAATTGCCATGAGAAGAGCCTTTGCGTCCGCTTCGAGAGGAGATGATGCCGTACCAAAACATGTATAACCCCAATATTGAAGAAGACAATTGATATCCTGAATTAACCTACCTCTTTTAACCTGTTTGGATATTTTGACTAAGTTTTTTCGGG